CGCTGATTCACCAGCCCAGAGTATGCAGCTGATGAAATAGCGTATATACACTGATAAAACAGCGTATATGCACTGATTTTCCAGCGTATATACGCTGTTTCATCAGCTGCATACTCTGGGCTGGTGAATCAGCGACTTTTCGCTGATTCAAATTTAGAGAGTAGAAAATAAAAACTTCAAATAATATAAAAAAATCCCCAATTAAACTTTTTCAAAAAAAATTAATTCCACATAATTGTCAGTTAAAAATATGAAAAATTCATATTTATTTTCAAAAATTTTAATTTTAAACCTTTTCAAAATTCTATTATTTCTAAAAATTTACGCTCTAATGCTTTTAATATTCAATTATAATCTAAAATTTTAACTTTAATCCTTTTTTAAATCAATTTTTATAAGAAAATTTTACTACAAGAATTCAATTATTTAAATCCAAAAATAACAATTTACTGAATAATTGCATGTTTCTTAAAATTGAATTCTCATAAAGAATTTTATGAACAAATTTTTAAATAATTGAATTCTTTTGACGAATTTTAATAAAATTTTTAAGAATAATTACATTATTTCGAGAAATTCGCTTAAAATTGTAAAAATTTGTAAAGAATGAAATTCCTGTGAAATTTTTATTATTTTTTGAAAATAATTAAATGTTTGTGTAGAATTTTATTAAATTGTTTTTTAAATAATTAAATTCTTTTGGAAAATTTTATTAGAATAGTAGATCCTACCTATTAAAAATCATTGAATTGAGGAAAATTTTTGAAAATAATTGAATTTCTACAATCATTTGTAATTTCTCTAAAATTATCCAAATTATATAGTACAATTTACGGACTTTACGGACATTTTTCAATCAAATTACGGACTTTACGGACCTTTTTTCCAAAAAACGGACTTTTACGGACTTCAAGCAAAGTTATGGACTTTTACGAGATTTACGGACCTAGTTCGAGCCCTGTATTCCGCTACTGCACACGTTCTTAATCAGTTTAAATTAATATAATATAACCTCCAGATAAATAACAAAGCATAAACAAATTTATCTAAACTGTTGTTAAACAATATTAGTTAACAAATAGTTAACTTCTTTTCCCCTCCACTAAAAAATATTGTTCTTTCAAAATATTTTACTTTCGGTTAAACATTATATATAGAGATGTGCAAAAAGCTAGAATTTCCGAGCCGAGCCGAAATTTTTTCGAGCCAAGCCGAGCCCAAGCTGGCTGATGTATCGAGTACTCGAAATTTTCGAGTACTCGAGTGAGTTCCAGTACTCGAAAAAATCGAGTACTCGGGTAAATTCGAGTACTCGAGTGTAATCGAGTACTCGAAATATTAGAGTACTCGAAGGGATTCGAGCTTTTAAATGACAAAAAAAACTATTAATAAGTAGGAAATTTCGAATTTATGCGAATAGACCTTTTCATTTCAATTCGGAAGTCGCGAATGCGCCTGCGCAGCAACCATGACAGTTCACCAATTTTAAAAGTTTCGGCCCTGTTCTATTAACATGTGTTAAAACTTTACTTTTGCTCATGTTTTTATAGAGAAAAGAAAATGTGTCCGGTGCAAAATTGGTATCAAATTTAAACATAAAAACACGCAGTTAAATTTGCAATTAAAAATATCACTGCAGTGCAGAAAACAGTCAACTAAAAGAAGAAAAAAGAGTTGGTTCCAGAGTGAGGTTATGTTTACTATATATTGACATATTGTTATTCGCTGATGAAATGTGAAAAACACAATAGTTACCTCTTTCACTTTTATTTATTGTTTTTATTAACGTTGCATGTAGAAATGCAAAAAAACTAAAATAAATTATTGATATTTCAAAAATAACTTATTGATAAAATAATTAATATATGCTCCGTCCTTAATTTTTTCATTAAATTTATTCCAGTATTTGTTATAATTATTATACTCCATTTTTATGCAACATATAATAATTATTAGAACACTTTTTATAATTTTTTCATATCTGAATAATGCAATAGCTGTAAACAGGGCCGAAACTTGAAACGGAACTTCAATTCCATATAACGCATGCGCAAAGAAAATAATTGAAATGAAAAGGTCTATTAAAGTCAATAAATTTACTTAAGAGCTCGAAAAAAATTCGAGTACTCGAATGCACTTGAGTACTCGAAACGTCCGAATACTTGAAAAAATTCGAGTGCTCGAAATTATTCGAGCTTTTTGCACAGCTCGGCTCGGCTCGAAAAATGAAAAGCTCGATCGAGCCTCGAGCTTCGAGCTTTTTGCACATCTCTAATTATATATATATAATAAATTGTTTATAAATATTTAACAAATTATTTTAAATATTCACTTTTTTTAAACATATATTTTTTAAGTAAACCTATAAATTGAAAAGTAACTGTGAAAAAATATTTTTGAGTAATAAACTTATATTGTTTATAACAATTTAAATAAGTTACTTACATAACAAAAAAGGAGATAAATTCATTAAATGAAACTAAAGTACAATATAAATATGAAAGAACAATACTTTTCTATGGAAAGGAACAAAAGTTAACTATTTGTTAACTAATATTGTTCATAACAGTTTAGATAAATTTGTTATGTTTTGTTATTTATCTGGAGGTTATATTATATTAATTTAAACTGATATAGAACATGTGCAGTAACGGAATAAGAAAATAAAATAATTAAAATATTTTTAAGTTTGCATGCAAGAATATGGAATGAATCCCCTTTAATTTAAAGCAAATAAAACTAAAACAGATTAAAACTTGTACGCTGTAGACAGTTTTTAGTACAAAATTTTAAAAATCCATAACTCGAAAATTTGGCCTCAAAAAAAAAAAAATAAAAAAACGTGTCTCTTATTTTGCAATAAAGAATAAAAAGAAATTTTTTCCAAATTCTGAAACGTGACTACAAATCTTATATGTGGAATAGCTCATATATTTTATCAATATTTCTATAATTAATCGATATTTATATTCTTCAAAAAAAATTTAAATTTTTATTTATTATATATGTATAGGTAATACATATTAATTTAAATCGATTTTTTATTTAAAATTTTTAAAAATATACTTTTATTACTTTTCTTAATCTCTTTGGATATAACAATTTTTATTAAAATTTAATTAATAATTTTTTGAAGAAATATTCAAATAAATAGAGGAAGCTTGTTGAACAACTTGTTCTCATCGTGACATATCTATCTATCGTGAATTATAAATTATAAATCTTTATGAAAAATAATTATTTTCCAGACTTTTTGTTAGAATTCTTCCGAAATTCCATTTTACATCAAAATAGTTTTTAAAAACTTACAAAAAAATTAATTTTTTTCTATAATAGAAAGTACAATTTTTGACACTTTTTGCGCCCCCCCCCCCTTGTTACCATTACGTTAAATGCATTTTTTAGATTTTTAGACCCCCCCCCTTCAAATTGGTAACGTAGTTTATGGACGACCCCTTAAAAAGTTTTAACTGATATTCATTTTTAAATCAATTCTTTTTATCAAGTTTTACAAGAATTCAATTATTTCAATACAAAAATAAATAATTTATTAATAATAAATAATTTATTGAATAATTGATTATTTTTAAAATGAAAGAAAACATTTTAGAAAATAATAACGTTCTTTGAGGAATTCTTTGAAAAATTTATTAAGAAATAATTGAATTTATGTAAAAATTTTATTATTCAATCAATGGAATTTTTGAGAAGAAATTTAATAAATTTTTCTTAAATAATTGAATTCTGTTGGAAAAATTTATCAAAATTGTAAAAATATTTAAAGTATTCGAATTTCACAGAAGAATTTCATTATTTGTGGAAAATGATTGAATTATTCTTGCCAAAGATTTTCCAAAAACTTTGGAAAATAATTGATTTCTTTAGAATAATTTCAATATAATCTTTGTTTTGAAAATAATAATTAATAATTAATTAATTATTAATATCCTTCAACGAATATTGTGAAAACATTTTAAACTATTGATTTCTTTCATAAATTTTCCTGAAAAATTGTATTTTAAATAATTGAATTCTTGTGAAAATTCTATTATTCATGCGATATTAATAGAAATTTTGAGAAGAAATTTATTAATTTTTTTTAAATAACTGAATTTATTATAACTATTAGCGGACTTAAAGTATTAAAATCTAGAAATCTAAAAAACAAAGAAAAAAGTATCTTTTTGCGTCATAAAATAAAAAAATTTTAATTGTCTATACTTTGTAGCTGTTTAGGTCCTCTTTTCGATGGTACATTTATATAAATTATTATTTTTAATGAGCTATGAGCAAAAAAGCTTAGGTGTGGAAACCTGCAAGCTTTCCCCTAAGCTTTAAATGGTTTTTTTCAAAACAACTCTCTCTTCATTTGTTTATAAAATAAAATGTATATATTAGCGCCATTTTTTCTGTTGACCGTAACAAATAGCTTAACCCATCCCCCAAAAAAGCGTTAAGTATTTTTTTTACAATTAAAATAATTTTATCTTACCTTAATCTTGAAGCTTTCGTTTTGGATAATCTCCTTCCAGACAGCTTGTATTTTCCACTTTTCCTCTTGTTACACTTATTCACTTCTTTTTGTAGCTCCTGTCCATTACACCTCTTATTACACTTATCCAATTCTTTTTTTTTACCTCCTGTCCATTTTCTAATTCCTCCATGGTTTTCTATTTTTATAACCACACTGAACACAAACACAATCTCCTGTCCCGTACTCAATGTTTACACTATTCTCACGTTCTAAAAAATGGTGAAACAGAAACGTTTTTCACGCTTTTTTCGAATCTAGAATGCAAAAAATTAAAATCTCTCTTTCTCCCTCTAATATGAAAGAAAAAAACACAACCGAAGAGTTACGACCTTTGCAGGTTCGAACGGGTCATCAACACACTTGTAATGCACCGTATCAAAAAAATCGTACCGGCCGGCTTTCTGTTTAGAGGTGCTCTCGTCGCTCTAGTATTATTACTCTGTCTCTCTTCCTCTTATGTCCCCTCTCCCATACGGCACGCGTCGCGGCAGTCGCAGTGGCTTGGTAACAGCAGTAGAACGTTAGTTCCATTAGTGGCGTGGCTCTTGAACATTTTAGCACCGTTTGGACGTTCTTTGGGATTTTTGGTAAGTATCTTTTTAATTCAAAACAGATATAATTAACGTTTTAAAAGTTGATAAATTCATATTCTTATTTTAGTAGTATTTTTAAAATATATTTATTTTACAAAAAATGATAAATCTATTTTTCCAACTTTTTGTATCTATTTCCAAGATTTCTGTGCATAAAATAAAAAATTTGTGAAAATTATTTTTAAGATTAAAAAAAAATGTATCGGGTTTTTAAAATTAAAGAAAAATTTTTAATAGAGAAAAGAATTTTAATTTAATTAAATTGTAAATTGTTCCTAAAATATAAATTGATTAAAAAGTGCAGAAAATTAAAGTTTCAAATTATTGAATTTGATTGTGACTAATTTGATTTGACATCATAGTCTGTGATTTCTGTAAACCGTTTTATAGTAAAAAAAACTTCTTTTTAATGGAAGGCTCAAGAATTTAATTTTCAATATTTTTTTAAATATTACATTCATATAAAAATTACATTTTTTTTACCAGAAGCAACTTTTGATAAATTTTAGGTTATGTTAACTAATTCGTTTCTCATCGACTCAATATTGTAGTTTTTATTCAAATGCAACGTTAAATTGTCTAAAATTTTTGAAAATCAAATTGTTTGCACTTTTACTAAAATTAATTCATATTTTTTTTCTTAATTTAAAATTTGAAATATAAGGATTGGATTGGCCATGAGCCCTGTTTATTCTAAGATTTCTATTAATATAATTTCATAATTAAGGAGGATGGTGACACCATACATAACCTCAAAAGTAAAATATTCTCGAAATTGTTTGTACAACAAATAAAAATATAATTTAAATTAATTTGATCACACTTTGAATGATTTAGTTATAAAATGTTAATAAAACATTTATATTGAATTAAAATATTTTTACAAATAATAATAATTTTTTAACATTCAATATCTTTTCTTTCAGCTTTAGAAAAAACTACAATTTTTATCCAAATTTAACGAACAATAGCTCATTTTACTCGTTGATACATTATCTATAATCGTAATTTTTTTAAAATTGTTGAAAATATTGTGTTTAAAAAATATAAACAATTTAAATATTATTTTTTAAACAATTTTTTAACGACGTATTTTCAACAACAATAAAAAGATTACGATTATAGATAATGTTTCAACGAGTAAAATGAGCTATTGTTCGTTAAATTTGGATAAAAATTGTAGTTTTTCTCTGAAGTTGAAAGAAAAAATGTAGAATGTTAATAATTTATTATTTGTAAAAATATTTTAACTCTATATAAATGTTTTATTAACATTTTATAACTAAATCATTCAAAGTGTGATCAAATTAATTTAAATTATATTTTTATTTGTTGTACAAACAATTTCGAGAATATTTTACTTTTGAGGTTATGTATGGTGTCACCATCCTCCTTAAAAACCTATCGCAGAATTTCAATTATTTTTAATACAATTTTAATCAAATTTCTCGAAAAATGTAATTATTCTTAAACATTTTTTTAAAAGTCTTCAAAAGAATTCAATTATTGAATTAATTAAAGAATTATTTACACAAATAAAAATAAAATTCAATTATTTTTAATACAATTTTAATTGAATTATTCTTTTAAAATTTCATAAAAAAAATTAATAAAAATCGTGGCAAGAATTCAATTATTTTCATAATATGTAATTGAAATTCTTTTTAGGAATTCAATTATTTTCATAAATAATATTTATTGCAGAATTTCAATTATTTTAATGAAATTTTAATCGAATTCCTCGAAAAGTGTAATTATTCTAAAAAAATTTATTAAAATGTGTCAAAAGAATTCAATTATCTATTTAAAAAATTCAATGAAAAAATTTTATAATTTTCTAATAAAAATTGATTTAAAAATGAATTTCAGTTAAAATTTTAGATTTTAATTGAATATTAAAAGCATTATAGTGTGAATTTATAGAAATAATTCAATTTTGAAATAACATTCTTCTCAGAAATTCCATTATTTTGAAAAATTTTCAAAAATTCTCGTCAACATTTCAATTATCTTTATCAATTATAAAATTATTCGCCGAAATTCACTTATTTTTTAACAATTTTAATAAAATTTTTGACAAAATTTCCATTATTTTTATAGATAATAAAAATTTTTACTGGGATTCAATTATTTTCACTTAATAAAATTCTTCTAATGAATCGAAATTTCTGTAAAATTGAATTGTAAACAAATGGATTTCAAAATTATAAAAGTACTTTTTTAAAAAAAGAATTTCAGCTAAACAAATGAATTTGAAAATTCTTAAATAGTTTTTTCAAAAATTATAAAAAATAATGGATTTATAGAAAAATTTTAGTGAAAGTTATTTCAAAAATATTAAAATTCTTCTTACGTATTCAATTATTTTCATAAATATAATAAAGCTCATCGCAAAATTTCAATTATTATTAATATAATTTTAATTGAATTCCTCGAAAAATGTAATTATTCTTAAAAATTTTATTAATAAATTCGTTGAAAGAATTTAATTATTTAAACATTTGTTGATTAACTTCTTTAAATTAAATCCGAATATTTCTAAACCAGAAACAACTATTTTTTTAACACAATTTTCTCTCTTTGATACAATCTTATTGACGAAAGATTTTTTTCTTCAAATTAGATACAGATTGGAGACAGCGACAGGAGTCGCAGCAGTTGAATACGATTGGAGGAAGCACCGTTCGGATTCAAAGTAGTACAACGAAAAAAAGCTCTTCCGATTTGAATTTGGCAATTGATTGTGTCGCATCAAGGACCCGATCACGTGCACTGATAAATACTCCATTTTTATCGAAACCAACACTGGAATCGAACTGCCCCTATCAAGTAATCTCAATAATAGAAAAACTGTCACGAGTCATAGTAGCTTGACACCTTCATCTAGCAGTACTTCTATTTCTAATCATCCATCTACAATTCTACATCTGCAAAATTCATTTTTTTCTGAAATTTTATTAAAATTCTAATTTATCTATAATTTTAATAAAACTTATTGCAAAATTCAATTATTTTCAGAAATTTTAATAAAATTTGTGTGTAAATTCAATTTTTAGGAATTTTATTAAAATTCGTTGCAAAATTCAATTATTTTTATGAATTTTAATAAAAATTTTTGTCTAAATCCAATTTTCCGGAATTTTAATAAAATTTTGGTCTAAATTCAATTTTCAGGAATTTTCAAAAAATTTATTAAAAGATTCAATCATTTTCATGAATTTTAATAAAACTCAGCAAAATTCAATTTTTTCTGAAATTTTATTAAAATTCTAATTCATCTATGATTTTAAGGTCATGTTATTCAGTGGTCACGTGCCCCATATACTTTACTATGGAAAAACTTCACACTGAATAACATGACCTTAATAAACTTTTTGCAAAATTCAATTATTTTCAGAAATTTTAATAAAATGTTTATCTAAATTCAATTTTCAGGAATTGTAATAAAATTCATTGCAAAATTGAATTATTTTCAGAAATATTAATAAAAATCTTTGTCTAAATTCAATTTTCAGGATTTTTTTTTAATTTATTGAAAAATTCAATTGTTTTCATAAATTTTAATAAAACCCTTTGCAAAATTCATTTTTTTCTGAAATTTTATTAAAATTCTAATTAATTAATAATTTTTATAAAACTCTCTGCAAAATTCAATTATTTTCAGAAATTTTATTAAAACTTTTTCCAAATTTAAATTATTTTTCAAAGATTTTACTAAATTTAAATTGTAAAAGGCCGAAAGGTCATACATATGAATTCAATAAAATATAATATATACTAAATTTAAATTATTATTTAAAAAGATTTTACCAAATTTCAATTTAAAAAAAAAATTTAATTTTTAAGTAATTGTAAAACTATTGCGTCTTTCAAAAATTATTTAGAAATATTTTTAAAAAGTTAATTTTACGAATTTATTTATTAAAATTTTTGAATATATTCTACCTTAATATCTTTGAAAAGAAAAATGAACGGTTTCAATTATTACAAAAAATTGAATTTTTGTATTTAAACAATTGAATTCTTGAAGAACTTTCGGAAAAATATTAAAAAGCAATATAGATAATTGATTTAGAAATGAAGTTTAGTTAAATATTGTAGAAAATAATTGAATTTGTGAAGAATCAGGGAAATAGAAAATGAAATATTTGTGACAACACTAAATAAAATAAACGACTTTTTCGACTTTTTTGTATTTTTAATCGACTAAAGCGACTTTTTTGTTCGTTAAAGTCGATCCGAGGCCTGCATAAGCAATAAAAATTTCAGAAGAATGAAGTTATTCACAAATTTTTTATAAATTTTTCACAATTCAATTATTATTAAAAATGATAAAATTTTTTACAGGGATTCAATTATTTTCAAAAATAATAAAACTCATCACGTAAATTCAATTATTTTTAATACAATTTTAATTAAATTTCTGAAAAAATGTAATTATTCTTAATAATTTTATTAAAATTCACGGAGAAAAATTTATTCTTAATGATTACAATAGGGTAAGACTCCGTCAGAAAAAAAGCGATTTGCAAGTGGTCTTCCGATTTCTTCGAAACCTTGGGAAATAGAAGTCTTATATGAATTAAATTTAACCCTAAAAGGATTTTAAAAAATTTTCAAAATGGCGGCCGCTACGCCATATTGAAAATGAGTGTTGCGTTTTTTTCAAAAATTAATAACTCTGAAACTTTTAGATCGATTTTAATAAAATTTACAGGCGATATAGTTAAAAATACGTAGTTTAATTTGATATTATGAACAAAAAAAAATTTCCAAAATTTGTCAAAAAAAAGTCAAAAAAATTTTTTGAATTAATTTTTAGTTCAGTTGGCCTAATTTTTGAATTTTCTAATAAGTAAATATCGATTCCTTGAAATTTCACCTTTCATTTCATAAAAAAAAATTTATGGAGACTCTAATAGTTCTCGAGATATTGCGACTTTAGTGGGAGCGCGTACCGCGGAATTAAACTCCGTAGCGAGGCGGAATATGAAGCGAGCGTACAAACGTGCACAATAGGGTGTCCGTAACAATTAATTTTCAAAATTTTGGATCCAATATGGCAGGTTCAAAATTTTAATTTTCTACATTTTCGAAGTAAATATTCTAAAACAACGTCAAGGGCGATATTTAAAAGCGCTATTTACGAATCTAATGTTAAAAATTTATTTTTTAAATTACCGAATCTAATATGGCATGGCGGATTCAAATTTTTTTTTTAAATATTCCTTTAATAATCGATTTTTAAAAGCAGAGGTATAAAAAGTTAAATTTCTATAAAAGAGTTTCTAAAACATCCCAATAATTATTTTTTGTAAATATTAATCTATAAATTAATATTTAGACTATTTACTTAAAAATGTAGAAAATCATAATTTTGAATCCGTCATAGTGGATCGAATAATTTGAAAAATAAAATTTTAACATTAGATTCGTACACTCAGAAAAAAATTTGTTCGAATCAACCAAATTTTGGTTGAATCAACCAAATAAGAGGCATTATTCCTGAACTGCCCCAAAAATAAAAAAAAGTTCTTGGATTTCCTTTATACTTTGAAAATATGTTACCCTAGTAGGTACAAGTTATTACACCAATTTACAGGTCCAACCCCCCACCCCAATCAAAAGGGTGGGGGGTTGAAATTTCAGCTTCAACTCGAACATGCATTCTTTAAACATTTGTAGTTTCTACTTAAATTATTCAATTAAAAAAGTAAGTAGTGTTTTAGAAAGGTTTTTTTGTGTACTTTTAAAATATTTTATTTATATAATAAAAAAAAATTTTTTTGCAAAAATTTTTTAAAATAAATAGTTTTTTGCAATTTTGTGCAAGTTCGGTAGTTTTTATTTTCTTTTTAATAATCTCAAATGAAAGCTTGGGAATTCCCCTAAAAGAAGATATAAGTCTGAAAATGGGCCGAAACAATTTGCCAAAGATATAGTGTAATAAGTAAAATTTGTCCGTCCGCTCGCGCACTCCAGCGCGATGAACAGTATGATTTTTTTTCAACTTACTATTGAAAATTGTCTAGAAACTACAAATTTTATCGGATGTTCATGTTCTTGATTTAAAATTACTAAGAGATCCATCAAAGTCGATTTTTGAATTTTTAATTGTTTATTTTTTTCTTGTTACTCAAAAATTTGACAAATTACAATATTTTTAGAAAAAATCATGTTAGTTTTTTTATTTTTCCATTACACATGATCGAAATCAATTTAAATTAGTCTAGTGTATGACCACTGGACAATTAATAAAGCATAATACAATTTATTTAAATTGTTGCAAACAATGTTAATTAACAAATAGATTACTTCGGACCATCTTCATAAAAAAATTGGTTTTTTTTGCAGACAAGTTTAAATTTATGTCTAATTTAGTAAAAAACTATTTTACAGTTAAAAATTATCATTAATATTAACAATTATATAAACAATAATCAACTTCCTTTTGTATTTATAAACATTTTCGTCATTTTTTAAACTTTAAATATTTATATCATATGTACATTCTTTCAAAAACATAAAAAATTTATTAGCTTAAACAATTACATTTGTTATAAACAAACTTTTCATTTTTAAACAAATAAGTAGCTTTTTTCATCAAACAAAATTTTTTCCTTTTTTTTATATTTACTATCATAAAAAAGAACTCCTTAATGAAATGGGAATACTATAAATTATTCATTTAATTCTAACGAACATTATAAGTTAAGAAATATTTATATTTTTAATGAAGTAAACCATTATTCAGTTAAAACAGTTTACATTTAAAAGCATATAAATAAATATATTTTTTCTGTGAAAAAAGAACGAAGTTAAATATTTGTTAACTTATAATGTTTATTAAAATTAAATGAATAATTTATAGTATTCCCATTTCATTAAGGAGTTCTTTTTTATGATAGTAAATATAAAAAAGGAAAAAATTTTGTTTCTGATATTATTAATGTGGAATACGTATTTTTAATAAAGTAAGATTTTAGGCCATTTTTTTCCACAGGTTTGTTTATTTATTTATAACAACGTTTCGGTAGCTGCCGCTACCCTCATCAAGTTTATAAATACACTGCAAATAATAATTTTAAAATTAATTATAAATATAAAAAATAACATTCGTTTTGCTTAACATTAAAACCTGGAAAAAGTCTATATAAGAAAAAAAAGTTTATATAAGGAAAAAGTTTATATTTATAATTAATTTTAAAATTATTATTTGCAGTGTATTTATAAACTTGATAAGGGTAGCGGCAGCTACCGAAACGTTGTTATAAATAAATAAACAAACCTGTGGAAAAAAAATGGCCTAAAATCTTACTTTATTAAAAAAATTTTGTTTGATGAAAAAAGCTAATTATTTGTTTAAAAATGAAAAATTTGTTTATAACAAATGTAATTGTTTAAGCAAATAAATTTTTTAAGTTTTTGAAAGAATGTACATATGATATAAATATTTAAAGTTTGAAAAATGACGAAAATGTTTACAAATACAAAAGGAAGTTGATTATTGTTTATATAATTGTTAATATTAATGATAATTTTTAACTGTAAAATAGTTTTTTACTAAATTAGACATAAATTTAAACTTGTCTGCAAAAAAACCAATTTTTTTTATGAAGAAGGTCCGAAATAATCTATTTGTTAATTAACATTGTTTGCAACAATTTAAATAAATTGTATTATGCTTTATTAATTGTCCGGTGGTCATACTAGACTAATTTAAATTGATTTCGATCATGTGTAATGGAAAAATAAAAAAACTAACATGATTTTTTCTAAAAATATTGTAATTTGTCAAATTTTTGAGTAACAAGAAAAAAATAAACAATTAAAAATTCAAAAATCGACTTTGATGGATCTCTTAGTAATTTTAAATCAAGAACATGAACATCCGATAAAATTTGTAGTTTCTAGACAATTTTCAATAGTAAGTTGAAAAAAAATCCCACTGTTCATCGCGCTGGAGTGCGCGAGCGGACGGACAAATTTTAGTTATTACACTATATCTTTGGCAAATTGTTTCGGCCCATTTTCAGACTTATATCTTCTTTTAGGGGAATTCCCAAGCTTTCATTTGAGATTATTAAAAAGAAAATAAAAACTACCGAACTTGCACAAAATTGCAAAAAAAAATTTTTTTTTATTATATAAATAAAATATTTTAAAAGTACACAAAAAAACCTTTCTAAAAAACCTTACTTACTTTTTTTAATTGAATAATTTAAGTAGAAACTACAAATGTTTAAAGAATGCATGTTCGAGTTTAGGCTGAAATTTCAACCCCCCACCCTTTTGATTGGGGTGGGGGGTTGGACCTGTAAATTGGTGTAGTAACTTGTACCTACTAGGGTAACATATTTCCAAAGTATAAAGGAAATCCAAGAACTTTTTTTTATTTTTGGGGCAGTTCAGGAATAATGCCTCATAAATGCATTGCTATACAGTCAACCAAACGTTTGTTTGATTCAACCCAAAAATTTCTTCCAATACGTTTATTTGTATTAACCAAATGCTTATTACACCCAAAAAATTTTATTTAATATAACTAAAAAATTTGTTTATTTCAAGAGAAAAGATTTGTTTGATTCAAATAAATAGTTTTAGTAAACGTATTTGGTTTATTTAAATAAATATTTTTGTTTACTTAATTTTGTTATTTATTTTCCTCTAATAATATTTGAATTTCCTAATTTAATATTTTCTAGTACATATTATTGGTTAATTTATAATTTATTATATAATTATTTATTGATATTTTAAAATTATACATATAATAAATTATAAATTAACCAATAATATATATACTAGAAAATATTAAATTAGGAAACTCAAACATTATTAGAGGAAAATAAATAACAATTAAGTAAAATATTATATATGTATTTCTTCATATAAACAAAATTACTTAATTATAAAAAAACATTTGAAATATTACATTAAACATATTATCATTATGATTTTTATACGTGCACTCAGAAAAAAGTTTATTCGAAACAACAAACTGAAAACTTCACAAAACCTTTTTGTAAATATTCTTCTCACTGGTACAAATTAAATATGCAGTAAGTCAATGAACACAATGTATTTAATATTTATTTAACCGACACTTATAATTTTTTTTCTTTGATTTACCGATTTAACAAATAAATTTGACGCGAACGCGGACTGTAGACAAGTGAGATCGCCATTTTTAAATTCACACATGTACTTTTTGAGACAAGCAAATATGTTTGTTTGACTCAAATAAAATGATTTGGTTGAATCAAACAAATTTGTGTGTTGTGTCGAACAAACTGTATTTAACTAAACAATATTCTCTATTCAAAACACAAATTTGGTTAAATGAAACAAACAACTTCAAATAAAAAATTTCTTTCCAATAACCAAACAAATTTTACGTATTTATTAAAATAAACCAAATTTTTATTTAAATCAACAAAATTGTTTTATCGTGACAAATAAAATAGGTTAATTAAACAGTTTGGTTAAGTGAAATAAACTTTTTCTCTGAGTGTAAATAGCGCTTCCAAAAATCGCCCTTGACGTTGTTTTAGAATTTTTACTTTAAAAATGTAGAAAATCAAAATTTTGAACCCGCCATATTGGATCGAAAATTTGGAAAAATTAATTTCTGATATCAGATTCATGATGAACGATCGAAAATAGCCCCGAGTAAGTAATTTTTTTGAATTTTTGACAACACTTATGTGTTAAAACCTTGGATATATTGTGGTGCATTTTTATGACCCACTTTAATCATCCGCCATTTTAAAAATTTTTCAAAATTAAATTTTTGGCAAAGTGCTATCTTATAGTGCAGCTAAAAATGAAGGCAAATGTGACCTGGAGAATTTTTTGAATGAAAATTAAAAAAGTTATGAATTTTTTTTTAAAAAGTGCATTTTTCCTATGTATTTTTAATGGGAAATTTCGATGGATCTCTGGCACGTGTTAATATTAATCAATCGGCTTCAAATTTTGGGAAATTTTTTTTTATTTTATTGGAACTAAACTGGGGGGTGGCGTAAACAAAATTCGAAAGTCGCATTGTTACGGACACCCTATTGTGCACGTTTGTACGCTTGCTTCATATTCCGCCTCGCTACGGAGTTTAATTCCGCGGTACGCGCTCCCACTAAAGTCGCAATATCTCGAGAACTATTAGAGTCTCCATAAATTTTTTTTTATGAAATGAAAGATGAAATTACAAGCAATCGATATTTACTTATTAGAAAATTCAAAAATTAGGCCAACTGAACTAAAAATTAATTCAAAAAATTTTTTTGGCTTTTTTTTGACAAATTTTGGAAATTTTTTTTTGTTCATAATATCAAATTAAACTACGTATTTTTAACTATATCGCCTGTAAATTTTATTAAAATCGATCAAAAAGTTTCAGAGTTATTAATTTTTGAAAAAAACGCAACTCATTTTCAATATGGCGTAGCGGCCGCCATTTTGAAAATTTTTCAAAATCCTTTTAGGGTTAAATTTAATTCATATAAGACTTCTATTTCCCAAGGTTTCGAAGAAATCGGAAGACCACTTGCAAATCGCTTTTTTTCTGACGGAGTCTTACCCAATAGTCTATATTACTATTCCGATATGTAACCACTTTTTGTGGTGATTACTACAGCTGTTGTACGGAGTACAAACATTTTCGTAATCATTCCAAAAATTGGTCAAACATCTGAGCTGTAATGTAGACTATTGTAATAATCAAAAAAGAATTTTTTTTCCGTATTCGACAAAAGAATTCAATAATTATATTCAAAAATTTTTAAAAGTTCTAGTCAAAATTTCAATTATCTTTTTAAATATTAAAATTCTTAGTAATTGTTCAGAATTAAATAGAAATAACAATTACCAAATTCTTCTTCAAATTCTACATAATCGAAATTTCGTAAAATTAAATTATAAAGAAATGGATTTGAAAATTCCCAAAAAAATTTTTCATTAATTATAAAAACTAATAATTAATTTATAGAAGAATTTCAATTGAAAATTCCAAAAACTAATAATTGAATTGAAATAATAAAAGTAATTTTGAAGAAGTTGCAGTAACAATAATATTCTTATATTGTAAAATAATGATTTTATCATTCAATCATTTTTTTTAATTATTATAAATCAAAATTTTTTAAAAAGTTTGAATTAGAAATTTTTGAAAATCATAATTTCTATAGTAAAATAATACTGATTAAAAATTTATTCAGAAAAAACGAAGTTATAGATGTTTTCGAATAATTTCCGTATTGAAAAATTTGTAAATAAATGTATTAGAGCCTTCTTTGGGTCTAATTATTTTTAGAGTAAATCGGAATATATTATAGAGCTAATTGTTTGTAAAATTATGTAATAATTTTTTAAAAAGTAATAATCATTTTCTTACAGAAAAATAATAAAATATTAATTAATAAAAGAAATAATTTGCAGGTGTCCATTTCTTAAAGATTCTTGGGTTCTGTGGAAGCGAAAAGTAAGAATTTATTTATTATACACATTTTAGATTTAAGCACTTCTTTCTCCATATATGTGTCCTGACGCAGAGAAAGAGACCTTACCCCAAAAACTATTAATTTTGTGTTATTAATGTCATTTTATCGACTAAAAAAATTTAGATAAAATAGTATCAATAACTTCAAATTAATTGTTTAGACGTAAGATCTCTTTCACCGCGTCAGGACACATATAATATTTAATAATGATTATTTTTACATATTATTATATTAATAGACTTTTCAATATTACTAAAGTATTTAATTTTTTTATTTTTTATTCCAGATGGTAGGCGGTAGAAGATCAGGTACGAATAAACATTTGACCGAAATGCAACAACAAGAACTGCTGGAGCAACAGCAGCGAGAGCAACAACAGCGAGAGCAAGAGCAGCGAGAGCAACAGCAACGAGAGCAGCAGCAGCGAGAGCAACAGCAGCGAGAGCAACAGCAGCGAGATCAACAACTGAGAGATCAACAACTGAGAGACCAACAACTGAGAGACCAACAACTGAGAGACCAACAACAGCGAGATCAACAAAAACAGCAATATTATTATAACCAGCAAGGAGACAAAGATTTATTGCGAGAGCGTCAGCTGCAAACAAACCCATTGCCTTCTTCAAACCTATGTCAACCGTTTCAGTATATGATGCCTTATTCGCCGCAGCTCCCTTTTACTCAGTTCCAACAACTGCAACAGCAGGCACAGTTGCAGTGCCAACAATTACAAGAAATGAAGGAACTTCAAGAGAAGCAGTTAAAAAATTTAGAAGCATTACAGGCAGTAAAGGTTAAAAAATCCCAACAAGCATTAGAAACGCAGGAAACTGAAGAAGATAAGAAAGTTCTGCAGACACAAAAGCAACAACCTTCACAGTACCAATTCCAGGGGCAGCAGAATGTAAGTTGATTTTTTTCATTCAAATATGTGAAACTCTACAAAGTGGTAACTTTTAAATATATTGATTTTTCAATTAAAAAAAATATTATTTTTTTAAAAATATTTATTAATCATTACAATATTTCGTCTTGGAACCAAAATTAGAAAAATTTAAATAATGGAATGAGCATTTGAACCATTATGACATCACAGAAACAAACAGTAAAGTTTTACGAGAACTAAATTATTTAAATAAAAAAATAAATAATTTATTTCATTCAATTAAAATTGTATTTTAAATGATTAAAATTCTCTGTAATTAATTTTATTATTTATTTCTGTAAATAATTTAGTTATTGTAAAGAAATTGATAAAAAAAATTTTAAATTATTAAATTCCAATAAAACTTTTCTTGTTTATGAAAATAATTAAATGTTTGCATTCTACTAATTGCTATAGCTAGAATTGAGTTATAGAAAATTAGTAGAAATTTACTAATTCAATTAGCAAAATATCAGTTAAATTTAAACATTATGTTGGTTTTTGTTTAACTAATAGCAAATTTACTAATTCAGGGTTGCCACAGGTCAGGGAAGTCAGGGAAATCAGGGAAAAGTCAGGGATTTTTACTAAAAGTACTGGAAAAAATTGAATTTTTAAAATTCATGAGAAAACTTTGAATTTTTTTCCTTTTTGCCTCGTAAATTATGAAATTTCCTCGAATTTTAATACAAAACCTTCAATTTTTCAATTTCTGACAATAATTTCTTTTTAAATAACTTAATTTTTGAAAAACTATCATAAAATTATGACTTACAAATTATTTTATAAATAATTTTTACAATTTTCATAAATACTAGATTGATAGAAGAATTTCAGTTAAAAATACTAAAAAAATTGGATTTTGGAAAAGTTAAAAATGATTACAGAAATTCAATTATTTTCAAAAGTTACAAAAATTCTTCGCAAAATTTCAATTATGTTCAAAAATAAAAAAAAATTGTTGTCAAAATTTCAATTATCTTTATAAATAATAAAATTCTTCATCGAAATTCAATTATTTTTAAAAATTTTAATAAAATTCTTGTTAAAATTCCACAGGAATTCAATTATTCAGTATTTAATAAATTTCTTTGAAATAATTCAATTATTTACATAAGTAATAAAATTTTCACAGGAATTCAATTATTTAAAATACAAAATTTCATAAAATTTTTCGAAAAATATTAATTATATAAAATGATTTTTATAAAATATTTTCATGAATTCAATTATTTTTATAAATAATAAAATTCTTCACCGAAATTCAATTACTTTTATAAACTTGAATAAAATTCGTTGTAAGAATTCAATTATTTATATAAACTTGAATAAAATTCGTTTGGAAGAATTCAATTATTTATATAAACTTGAATAAAATTCGTTTGGAAGAATTAAATTATTTTCAAAATAATAAAATTCTTCGCAGAAATTCAATTATGTTCAAAAATTAAAAAATAAATATTGTCAAAATTTCAATTATCTTTATAAATAATAAAATTCTTCATTGAAATTCAATTATATTTAAGAATTTTAATGAAATTCTTGTCAAAATTTCGTAGGAATTCAATTATTCAATTTTTAATAAATCAATTCAAAATAATTCCATTATTTTTATAATAATTAATAAAATTTTCACAGGAATTCAATTAGTCAAAATACAAAATTTCATAAAATTTTTCGAAAATTATCAATTATTTAAAAATATTTTTATAAAACTCGTGGCAAGAATTTAATTATTTGAAAAAATTTAACATAGTTCTTTTTAAGAATTCAATTATTTTTATAAATAATAAAATTCTTCCCCGAAATTCAATTATTTTTATAATCTTGAATAAAATTCGTTGTAAGAATTCAATTATTTATATAAATAATAAAATTTTTCTGCGACATTTAATTATTTTATGAAAATTTTAATTATTTATTTCATTATTATTTTTATGAATTATTTTTTATACAATATTTTAATCAAATTCCTCGATAAATGAATTTATTCTTAAAAATTTTATTAAAATTTGTCAAACAAATTTAATTATTTAAAATTTTATTGATAAAATTCTTTATCAGAATTCAATTTTAACAAACATTCAATTATTCAATAAATTATTTATTTTTTAATTTAAATAATTGATTTTTTTTTGAATTTTCTAATAAAAGTTGATTTAAAAATGAATAAACGAATAATCGATTTATTATTATTTATAAAAATAATTTAATTATTGCAACGAATTTTATTACATTTTTTTTAAATAATTGATTTTTTTGTGAAATTGTACTTCTTGTAAAAATAATTGAATTCTTGCGAAGGATTTTTGTAAATAATTAACTTATTTTAAAAAATTTTATGGCAATTTAAATTATTACAAAACATGAAGAAGACGATCACTTCGGAGTGATCGTCTTCTTCATGTTTTGTAATAATATTCTTATAAGTTGTTGAATTTGAAAAAGGTTTAAATTTGAATATTTTGAAGAATTTTAATTCCTACAGAAAAATAATAATGATTAAATATTTATTTAAGAAAGAAGTTATTGATGTTTCTAAATAATTGTACAATTAAAGAAGTTTGTAAATAAATGTAATAGAACATTTTTTTTGAGTATCTAATAATTTTTAGAGTGAATCAGAATATTCTTTAGGGTCAGGGAAAAAGTGAAATTTTTTTCTGGAAATCAGGGAAAAGTCAGGGAAAAATAAAATTAAATATTTGTGGCAACCCTGTAATTGAATCAGTAATTTTGTAAAAAGTTGAAACTAAATGTACTGATTGAATTAGTAAAAATTCTACTAATTTAAATTTCGAGAGTTTAATAATAGAATTTAATAAAAGAATTAAAATTAAGCCAAGAATTTTATTAAAATTTTTGAAAATAATTTAATTTTGGAGAAGAATTTTATTATTTATAAACGTAATTGAAATTTTAACTATAATTTAAGAAAGATTTGATCATAATTGAATTTCTGCAATCATTTGTAATTTCTCCAAAATAAAATTTTTTTAACCTTCGAATTTTTCTAAATAAATTACTAAAGTTTTTAAACAAATACTTACTTTTATAGACTCAGGGCTCGAACCAGTGAAAGTATTTAAAAATACGGACTTTACGGACCAAAAATGAAAAATTACGGACCATTTACGGACCAATTACTGACAAAAATATATAAGAGTACATTTTACTTAAAACTATAAATTAGATTTTTTCATAACTAAAAAACATGAAGATATCGATAAGCAATCAATAACTTCATGTTTTATAATAATTAAAGATAGAGTGATAAATTCATTATCAATTCAATTATTATTTTCAAGAATTTTTAACTAAAATTCTTCTGAAAATCGATTATTTTTAATAATTTTCGAAAAAGTTCTTTGACAATTTTCAAATCCATTTGTTTACAATATTCAATTTTACGAAATTTCAATTATTTTTAATTTCTTCAATTAAATATGTATATTAGAAAATAAAAACTTTAAATAATATAAAAAAATCAGCAATTAAACTTTTTCAAAAAAAAAAAAATTAATTCCACAGAATTGTTAGTTAAAAATATGAAAAATTCAAATTTTCAAAGATTTGTATCTAAAACCTTTTCAAAATTTAATTATTTCTAAAACTTTACGCTCTAATACTTTTAATATTCAATTATAATCTAAAATTTTAACTGAAATCCATTTATAAATCAATTTTTATGAGAAAATTCTACGAGAATTTCATTATTTAAATACAAAAAAAACAATTTATTGAAAATTTATTGAATATTTACATATGTTTCTTAAAATTGAATTCTTTTAAAGAATTGTATCAATCAATTTTCAAATAATTTGAATTCTTTTGCAAAACTTTATTAAAATAGTAGATATTAAAAATAATTAAATTAGGGAAAATTTTTGAAAATAATTGAAATTTTTCCAAGAATTTTATTAAAATTTTTGAAAATAATTGATATTTCGGAGAAGAATTTAATTATCTCTAAAATTTTGACGAGAATTTAAAAAAATTTTTGAGCATAATTGAATTTTTGCGAAGAATTTTATTACTTTTGAAAATAATTGAATTCCTTCAATCATTTGTAATTTCTCTAAAATTATCCAAATTATATCTATAATTTACGTACTTTACGGACCTTTTTCAATCGAATTACGGACTTTACGGACCTTTTTTCAAAAAAACGGACTTTTACGGACTTCAAGCAAAGTTACGGACTTTTACAGGATTTACGGACCTAGTTCGAGGCCTGTAGACTTCAAACAAATTTATGGACCTATATGGGATTTACAGACTTAGTTAGAGTCCTGCCCTGCGTAATTCTCACGAAAGGTACGGTTTTAAACAGCGTTTTTGTTTAAAAATAGTATCAGTAAAATAAAATTAGGTAATTAAAAATTTTGCGAACCATACTATGTGATTAAAAAAATTTTAGTTAAATTATTAAAAAATTCAAAAAATTGTCAAATTACTGAAGTATTGAATAAAAAATATGGTGATAAAACTCTTCCCCGTTACACTAGATTATCATGAAATATTTCAATTATTATTTAATATTTTTTTAATTTTTCTTTAGTGATTTTATTGAAAATTATAAAATTCTATGGTATGTTTTGGAAGGGTTTTTCAAATTTTTTATCTCCTATGGTATGGTTGACACAAGTTTTAATAATTTAAATTAATTTCATTAATTTTTAACAAAATACCGTGTAGGCTTAATTTTCTCTTTTCGTGAGAATCACCCACATGCTGTTATTCTATTTAAAAATTTCTTTTTAAACTAATAACTGTAACATTTCAGTTAAGAAACAAGATAATATCACACTCAGAAAAAGAGTTGGCTGCCATAACCAATTAAATAGTTGCTATAGCGCGATCCAATTAATTGGTTAGCACATCCAACTATTGGATACTGTTTCCATGCGAAAAGATACCCCAGCTATGTATGTAATGCAGGTAAGGTAATGCAGCTAAAAAGTTGGATGTATCAACCAAGAAATAGTTGCCCCATCCAATTAATTGGATCGCGCTATAGCAACTATTTAATCGGCTATGGCAGCCAACTCTTTTTCTGAGTGCACCAACTGAACCAGTAACAAATTATGGAAAGATCAGGAAATTTTATCAAAAGTGATGAAATAGGATTAAATTTATAGAATTGATAACGAAATTCTTGTTTCAGGTGTTTATATGAACATATCCAAGACATTTAAGGAAGAACGACATAAATAATCGAAACAAAAATTAGTTAAATATGTCATAATTTTTTATTTTGAAAGAAAAAAAATTTAATTAAAATTTTTTTTATTTAATAGTAAGAAATTTATTTTTTTATCATTTTAAATAATTAAAAGTTGTATTTAAATAAAAATTACAATTCTCTATCTATAAAAAACGATTTAAGTAACATATCCTAAAATTTGATAAATATTTCTTATTGTCAAAAAATGCAATTTTTATTGAAATGCAATTTTTAATTAAAGGATTCCACAGAATATAGGAACAAGCATGTGGTTGGAAGGGACAATACCACTTAGGTAGCAACGAACAGCTCAAGGCTTGTCACTGCTACCCAACTGGAAATATCCTTCCAAACCTCGCGCTCGCACCCTTATTCTGTGGAGTTTCTCAATTGTTTATTAAAAGTAGTGCAAAAATATCAAATTTTTAGAGTAATTTTTCAAAAGTTATGATTTCTAATTTGTCTTAGAAAAGATTTTAATTCAAAACTTGCGAGTTTTAGAATCGAATGCTAAAAGGTTTTGAACTGCAATTTTAGTCATCAAATTTTTTCTCAACAATTTCAATTGCTGTGAAAAAATGAAAAATAATGAAATATTTAAAAAACAATATTTAAAACTCTGAAAAAATTATATTACTCGGAAATTATAATTCAATTTTTTTCTTAAAAATATTTCAATTGGAAATAATTAAATTTGTCAGAATTTCATTACAAATTTTTCAAAAAATCGAATTTTTAAGAAATAATTAATTTGTTTAATAATATGTAATTCGCTCCCAAGAAAGGCACCTAAGAAGCAAACGAATTGTGGGTTATGTTTGTATTAAATTTATCTCGATTGAAAGTTCCTCTTTTATCTAAAATGCACAAAAATGTCGCTTTTAGATAGCTGACAACAAGCCCTAATAATATATTAAGCAACAAGGTACATAAACGTAGTCAGTTATTTATTTACGGTCATTTTTGCGTCACAGTAATTCCTCGCTTTGGTAGCAATTTTTTTCTTTTGATAATTGTTTACTTTAATATAAAAAGTCATTTAGAAAAGATTCCAAGAGATTCCAGGTCGGTGAAAAAAATGTTTTTTGGTTTTTTGTCACGGATTTTCCAAAAAATCCGAGAATTTTAAATATATTAATAATTCTTTGCCTCGGTAGCAATTTTTTTTCTTTTTATAATTGTTTATGATAATATTAAAAATTATTTTTAAAAAATACCAAATGGTTCCAAGTCGGGGAATTTACTGATTTTCATTTTTTAAATGAAATTCCGTGATTTTTGGAAAAAATTCAACGGAAAACTTTAAAATCACTGCTTTTCCCGCCTTGGATCCTATTAGAATCTTTTTAAATAGCTTCTAATATTGAATGAAACAATTATCAAAAGAGAAAATCTGTGACAAAAATTTCAATATCACTGCTTTCCCCGACTTTGAACCATTTGCAGGGTTGCCACGCAACCTGGAAAACCTGGAAAAGTCAGGGAATTTTGATTGGAATCCTGGAAAATTATTGTTTTCTAAAGTTATTGTGTTTATTTTTGAAATTTAATTTTTCTTTATTGCATATTTCAATTTTCTTAATTCAAATTTCTTAATTCAATTTTAAAAGAGTTTCCTTTACAATTTTTCTTCGCAATAATTCAATTATTTTCATAAATAATAAAAATCATCGCAAAATTTCAATTATTTTTAATACAATTTTAATGGAATTTCTCGAAAAATGTATAATTATTCTTAAAAATTTTATTAAAATTCATCAAACAAATTCAATTATTTTCAAAAGTAATAAAATTCTTCGCAAAAATTCAATTATAGTTTAAAAGTTTAAAAAAAATTTCTCCAAAATTCAATTATTTTCAAAAATTTTAATGAAATTCTTTTTAACAAATTCAATTTTTTCCAAAAATTCCCCTCCAGTCAATGATTTTCAATATCTACTATTTTTAAAAAAAATTTCCCAAAATCAATGTATTATTTTAAATTTTTTTTATAAATTTCTTCGCAATAATTCAATTATTTTCAAAAATATTCAATTTATGTTTACAGATATTAAATTATTTTTATAAATATGCAATACAATGTTTTACAGGGATTCAATTATTATTTTCATTGATAGTAAAACTCATTGCAAAATTTCAATTATTTTTTATACAATTTCAATCGAATTCCTCGAAAAATGTAATTATACTTAAAATTTAATTAAAATTCATCAAAAGAATTCAATTATTTAAAAATTTGTTAATAAAATTCTTTATGAGAATTCAATTTTGAGAAACATTCAATTATTCAATAAATTATTTATTTTTGTATTAAAAATAATTAGGTATTTAAAAAGAAATATTATTAGTATGTAGATTTAATTTTTTTGTAAAAGTTGAATTGAATTTTTTTGAAGTTATTTTTATTTTCTAATATATATTTGATTGAAGAATTTCCGAATAATCGATGAAATTTCTTAAAATTGAATTGTAAACAAAAGGATTTGAAAATGTTGAAAGAAATTTTTCAGAATTTTTAAATTTTAGATTAAAATTGTGGAAAACAATAATTGAATTAAAATAATGAAAGTAATTCTGAATAAGTTACAGTAACAATATTCTTATAATAGGTATAGAATGATGATTTTATCAGTCCAACATTTTTAATTATTATAAAACATGAAGATATCAATTGCTCTGAGTCGAAGACTCGGAGTGATCGATATTTTCATGTTTTATAACAATTTTTTATAAGTTGTTTAATTTCAAAAAGATTTGAATTCAAAATTTTGTGAAATATAAATGTAGTTTAAAAACCTGGAAAAATTCCGTTTTTTAACCTGGAAAACCTGGAAAAGTCAGGGAATTTGAAATGAGCAAAAGCGTGGCAACCCTGACTTGATATTTTTCTTAAATAACGTACTTATTTATTATTATTATTATTATTATTATTATTAATTTATTATTTATTATTTTCTAATAATAACGTTATTTAAAAAATATTCTTCCAAGTCAGGGAAACTATTCCTCGCCTCGAAAGCAATTTTATTAATTATTATTAATTTTATTAATTTATTATTTTTATTAATATTGTTATTATATAATATATATAATATAATAATATTATTATTATATAATATAATATTATTATTATTATTATTATTATTATTATTATTATTATTATTATTATTATTATTATTATTATTATTATTATTATTATTATTAATTTTTACGTCTTTAATTAATTTTTTTCTTTAATTTGTTAGGAATAAAAACATGAGTATTAAAGAATTTTTTTCGTTAAAATAAATCTATATCATTTGAAACTAGGCGTGAGTTTTGAAAATTATTTTCTATTTTCTATGAAAGTGTTTGTTTATTTGAAATTAATTTCTTCTACCATATATAAATAACATACATTTTTTTTTGGAAACTTATTATTCAACCTCTGAACTAAAAATCAAACAAATTAAAAAAAAATAATGTAGGCAAAAGTTAACACTTTGTGGAGAACCATCTTTACATAAAAAAATAAAATAATAATTTTGAATTTTTTTCAGCAAATAAAAAAACTGGAGAACAGGATGTTTGATATGGAAAATGACGTGCGAAGATTAAAAATGGACATAAGAGATTTAGAAAAGAAGAATGAGAAAGATAAAGAAAAAGAGCTGCAAAAGGAAAAAGAAGAATTAAAGGAAATGAGAAAACAATTAGAAAGAGAATCCGAAAGCATTAAGAAAATGAAGAGATATTATTAAAATAAGTTTGACGTTTATATTTCTTAAAAATTTGACAATAATCTATCTTATAATTATATATATATATATAAATAAAACATTGCATAATTTTCTATAATAATTTTAATCTTTTGTCACCTTTCACTGTTCAATAAATTTTTTAATGTTAGATAAAGAACCCTATAATTAAACTAAAACGTACAAAATAAAAGTAATATATTACTTATATTTAATAGACTTCAAATAACAATTATGATATTAATAATTAATTTAGTTTATCAAAATTGCTATAAAAATATAAATAACAAGAATTTTCTTCATAACAACTTAGTAAAAGAATTATTTCCAATTCATTAACAATGAAAACCACAATAAATAAAATAGTCGAATTTACATTGTAAGAAACATAAAACGAATTTTATGAAACAATTTTTTCCAATATACCTAAATTCTAAATAAAAATAATTCTATTTATTCAAGTTTCAATTTATAATAATCTTTAATTCTTTAAAACTTTACTTGCTTGTTCGGAATTCTTTGAATCTTAAATTGAATTTTTTCAAATTATAATCTGTTGAAAATGTAATGCATCTAAATTTTAATTTTGTCAATTTCATTCAATAAAAATTACAATTTAAAAATTGTTTTAAAATTACATTTAAAATTAACTATATTTCTATATGTTTCTATGTATTATCTATGTATCTTTTAAACATTAACCTTATGGGAAATTAAGTAAACTTTCATCTATTTAAACGTTCGTTTTTATGTATTAATTTTTTGTAAAATATGTTACGAAAATAATTCATCTTTTTAAAGGAGAAAGAAGCTATCAATTGTCCGAATCAAATTTTAAAAATGATAAATTCACTTTTTAAAATTAATTAATTCATCTTTTTGTCTATTTTAAAGTAAAAATCTACTCTATTAATGGTTTAGGCTAATATATTTAAAAAATAGTTATCACTTAAAACAAATTGAAGCGCACTTTAAAATACAACGAGTTGGACATATAATCTGAAAAATGTATATCAATGTGTTCAAAAATTATTCAATTCACAAATAATTTAGCATTCTTTATACAAAAATTAAAGAAGGTAATATTTTTATGAAATACATTTTATTTTTAAAAATATGTAACTTGTAAGAACTTTTTATTTTTATTTTTGTGGAGAAATTTTGGTTACAAAATATTTCATAACCTCATTATTTTTGTAATAGATACACTCTACCTTATCGACAGTTTACGAATATTTGCTATATCAGAAAAATTTTACACATTGGAAATTCTTTTCAATTTTTGTGACAATTTTTTTGAAAATTATTAAAAATAATAGATTTAGAAGAAAATTTTAAATCAAAATACTAGAAAATAAATTGAATGCAACAGGAGTTATAGTAGAAATTTTTTAAAAATATTAAATTGTCAAATTTTAGAGAAGATTTGAAAATTTTTTTTGAAAATAATTAAATTTTCTATGTAAATAAGGAAAACAGGTAACAACTTTTCTGAAAATCAAGGAAAATTCAGGGAAGTAGAAAATAAAATTTTTGTCATATTCAGAAAATAAACAACTTTATTCGTACTTTGAATTGAGTGAAAAAGCGACTGTTTTTGCATATTGTGCATTTTATTTTTAAATGCGTTATTATACACCCAGAAAAAATCTACTAAACATCATTTTAGTAGATTTCTCAGAGTATAATTACCATTTTCCTTTGTTCCAAACGTAATATCATCTGTCTCCAATTGAGGGCATTTTCCTCAAACGTATTATTCGACAATAAATTATGATTATAAACTAATAAAAAATTATTGTCATTTATTAACTTAAATATTTTTAATTAAATAAAGACAATTAATGATTAACAATTAATTGCATACATTAATTAATAAATTTATTCATTTATTTCACTGGAATTCAATGTTTTTGAAATCATAACCTCGAAATAATTGTTTCGTTTTATTACCAAAGAATAAAGATATTCTAAATTGACGTGAAATACTTTTCTGTCAAACGGATATTAGACCAAAATTTGTCCTCTAAATATGAAATTCTTTTATCCAAGTATATCTTTATTATTATAATGTAAAGTTTATTCAACTGAATAAACAACTTTATTTTGACATTTGTATTTTATTGCAGGAAAGATCTTATTTTACCGACCACAACTAAATGGTCACTAGAGGCGCTGCTACTGTTATAATTATCTACAATAACCTGTATTACGTAAATAAAAAAAAAGAATTTTTCTCAACAAAATAACTCAAAATAATATAAAATCACTACATAAAGAAATCCTATTTCATCTCTGAATAGAACTTTCTAAAATATTTCACCGTGTAAAAGATTTCTTACACCAATAAAAAAATACTCGATTTGTCGATCGGTTACCATCAGCGTCAATATATGCAGCGTGGTCAATCAACAAAAATCAATACTTTACCATCGGCATTATGACACGGCATACTTTAATTGTGAAGTTAATAACAAATTTTTTTAATAAAATATAAAATTAATACGAAAAATCCTTCAGTAAATATGCCCTCTTTCATTTACCCAAAATTTTTCTCAAAAATTCAGTTCCAGTTAGAAGTAATCTTACACGATTACCCCTCTTGCACGATTACGATTGAAAAAATCAATAATAATTATAAACAACTTTTATTAAATAAAGTATCAAATTAATACCAAATATCCTTCAGTAAATATGCCCTCTTTCATTTCCCAAAATATTTTTTGAAAATTCACTTCCAGTTAGGAAAAATATTACACCGGCGAAATATCGATTTTTTTATTTTCACTGAATAACATGACCTTAAATGTATTGTGGGATTCGTGTGATGTTTTTAAATGATTTACATATTAAAAAACTTAAAGTGCTCATTTAAAGTGGTTTTGTTGAAATGAATTAGCGCGCGCAGAAGTTGTTCTAGTAACGATAAAAACCCAAAAAAATAAGAATTTTTTTTTTACTTTTACTGTGAAAAACGACATTTTTATACATTAACGGAAACTATTATTACAAGAAAATTGACATGTTTCTCAAACCACATGGAACATATGCATCACGAAATAGTGTGTTCACAGGTTATTTACATTATTTGAAATTCTTAATGGTTTCGGAAATATTTGACTTGTCCGGTTTAGCTCCGTATCCGATTTAGCCCCAGTCTCCCCTATAGATCCTAAAAATTAAATAAACAATACCTAATAAAAATACAATTTCATAAAATAACAGTACTGTTACGTCAAAACTGAAACCTTTTTAAATATACCTAACATTCCTCGTTTTAAATTAGTTTCAGAAATTGAATCTAATTTGGGATGAGGATAAGTCAATGAGCCTACTAAATGTTGTGAGAGAATATTTATTTAAAACCAACCAAGAAAGAAAAGAATTGACAATAGTACAAAAATACAATGAGAATAAGAATCTTACTTTTAGAATAACGATTATTGCAGGTGTTGAAAACTGGTGATTGTTATCTCGATTTCCGATCTGAAGTGGTTATGAGAAGTAGACACAAAGGAGCCTGTGGTTGGTGTCCTTAATGGTTGTATATTAGCCTTGTTGTTTACACTAATGGGATTTAGTGTATTGTATTCTTGGGGATTTTACTCTTCTTCCAGACTGTCGCTTCCAAAGCAAATCTGGATGTTTAGAAATTAGAAATACTGTTTGAATATTTGATTTTGAAACGTGAAAACAATTTAATTTTTCTTGGGTTATTACTTATTGCTCGTAGTTAAATAAGTGAATTTATTAATTGTTGTACCGAACTTGGTCTCATAAATATACTTGGGGATGTAGTTTAGTTAACTTCTAAACTGTATACTGGGATTGCACTTAAGTTGACTTCAATTGTTTCTAAAGCATCGCGTAAAGACACTTGCTGATTATTTGGAAGAGCCATGTTTTCCTCAAAATTGTTACTATCTCTAGTGTTATCAAGAGAATTATTTTCAGAGTTATCGTTTGTTTCAATTTCAATTGAAATTGTTGCAATTTTTTCTTTCAAAGATGTTATTAGGTTGATTTCCAAAAAAATACTCTCTTTCAAAGATGTTATTAGGTTGATTTCCAAAAATATACTCTCTGCTCTATCGAAGATTATATCAAGATTATATCAAATTTCTAATGCAAGGTGGTTCACGAAACGTGCCGAAATGCTACACGTGCAGGTAGGTGCAGCGATACGTCACCGGACTAATATCAATAGGGTTTTCTTCATTCGACATGTATTTGGATAGGTCTCACTGGACTTGATTCTGGTATGTGTCGTTTCTCTCTCTTTCGGAGTGCATTCTTCTTTCCTTATTGGTCTAGTTTGCAGAAGGTTGTCAAATTGATGCGTAATCGTTATTCCTTTTACATTATTTAAAATATAACTTCTCTTTCTTGGATTTGTTATAACTTATTAATTTGTTGGAAATACATAGAAAATATATAATAACAAATATCATATTCATAGAAAATGTACTGAATACAATGTAATAATATATGACATACACATACACACGTGAATATTATAGAAAATACATAGTTCAATCAAGAATATTAATAAGAAAATACGTAGTTGAATCAAGAATATTAAATAAGAAGTTACGGACGTAACAGTACTCATCTCTCAAATAATTCAGTGTGGAGTGACCAGAATTATCCAGATTCCAGGAATGTATTAAAGTTTCCCTCCTACGATGGGAGTCCTGGATGACTGTTGCAAAATCTAAGATAGAGATAATGGATAATAATAATTAAAATTCGGGACTATTATAACGGTCACACTTTAAATAAAAGAAAATAAACAAAATTTGTAAACTTAAACTCAAATAAATTAGATATAAGAACACTTGAAAATTAAATAATGCACCCTTCCGTGTCCTCGGCCGTCACGTGAGAGCATGATCATTTTTCTGGTGTTGTCGACAAAAGCCAAAACTCGTAAAAAATTAAATTTTCCTAAATCGACAATCAAACCCAAATCAATCAATGCCCCACTTCTAGAGAACACGGAA